AAAAAAAAAAAAAAAAAAAAAAAAAAAAAAAAAAAAAAAAAAAAAAAAGGAAAAGTAAAAAGAGCCCAAAACTCACAGGGAAGGTCAGGAATAAAGACTGATGTGGGAGACATCACAGAATAGGTAATACATGAAGCCAAGTCATTGGAGAGTAAAATATAAGGAGAGAGCAGAAATTAAGAAAAAAGAGATCAGAGAAGCCAGTGGAATACCAATATTTAAAGATGGGGCAGAGAAAGATGAATTTGATTAGGATACCAAAAAGTGGAACTTCAGTGGTTGGAAGAGACCCAAGAGAAAAACTGAATCAGGGAGAGCAAGGAAGAAAGTTTCCAAATAATAATAAACACTAAGTACTCTTCTTATAGTCTCAAAACATCAAATCAAATAGAAAAAAAAATCATTTTTTTTAACAGAGGAATTTCAAAATAAGAAAAATAATTATCTTCATTTTTTCTAATATACACAATTGCCCAGATATGAACAAGATATTCAGGAAATATTAAAATTCATATACCCACTGGCACTAAACTGCCACCTAGCTAGTCTGCCACAGTGAAAAATATAATACCAAATGCTTGAACAGCAATAAAAAAATAAATAATACATTGACACTAGCCATAAAGAGATTTCTGAAGAAGAGTCACCCCACTGGCACTAAACTGCCACCTAGCTAGTCTGCCACAGTGAAAAATATAATACCAAATGCCTGAACAGCAATAAAAAAATAAATAATACATTGACACTAGCCATAAAGAGATTTCTGAAGAAGAGTCACTAAACTATAAGCTTCATGATGATAGACAATGGGCTGGCCCTGTTCCTCCCTATATAGCCAGATTCTAGTGTGGTGCCAGGCTCCATTGCTGGACCCCCATTTTGGCAGGTAGAGAAAGAGGTGGGGAGAAGACAGTTGACGATCATGATGCCCAATAGTTTATACATTAGACCAATCTGGTGATCCCAGCACCCTTTCTAATTACAAGGATAAATTACAGAGCTTTTCACTTCATACTCAGAACTTGAATAACTTACTCCCATGTGCACACTTTTGTACTGTTGCTTTCACAAATAGTTCTATCTTTTCACAGTTGATTCCTACTACTTTGAAGAATTTACTGTTATTCACAGCCTCGAAAAAATGCCTCAAATAATTGATTTACATAATGAATGTAATACGAAATGCAAAAGCATATATATTTTAAGCCACCATTACTTTGATCTTCTATTATTCACTCTCTAGATTTGCAAAACACTGAAGTTAAAGATCTATTTTTATTTTCAAGGCAAAGTCCCACTGATACAGTTTGGATATGGTGTCTGCCCCCTAAGCTCTTGTTGAAGCTTGATCCCTAAATTGGCAGTGCTGGAAAGTGTTTGTGTCATGGGGGGTAGATCCCTCACTAATAGATTAATGCCCTCCCTGGCGGTGTGGGAGGAGAGAGGTAGTGAATGACTTCTTGCTCTATTGGTTCTTGCAAAAGCTGGTTGTTAAAAGGAGCCTGGACCTCCCATCCCCTCCCTCTCTTGCTTCCTCTTGTCATGTGATTTCCTTTCACCAACTGGCTGCCCTGCCACTTTCCACCATGAGTAGAAGCAGCCTGAGGCCCATGACAGATGCAGCTGTACCAGAATCGTGAACCAAATTAACCTCATTTCTTTATAAATTACTCAGTTTCATATGTTCTGTTGTAGCAACACAAAAATGGACTAATACACACACCTAGCCTGAATCTCTATCCTTACATCAAAAACACTCCCTGTCATCTTAATGAATAAAAAGTTCAAATAAGTCTTTCTTTGTTTTCCATAGCCCCCAAACTGAAAAAGGAATAATTCCTAGACTCTCCACAGCACATATATTTATTTATTTCCAGATGTACTATGAAATTCTAAAAAGTATAAAAGTCTCAGCTCAAGATTTTTAAAATTCTAGTACACTCTTTTAAACCATTATTTAATCCAGGATCAAAGAGCATAAAGATAATAAATTCTAATATGTCTTAGAATCAAGAATTAAAAAGTAAAAACATGGTACTGATAACACCAAGGTCCAGGGTTCGATCCCTCTATCAGTCAGCCACCAAAAAAAAAAAAAAGAAAAAGTTAAAAACTTACCTTCAAGCTGTGCAACCACATCTCCCGGGTCTACTGCTTCAGGGAACACCTACAGTGGGAGGATGTACAAGGAAGCAGGATGGGGAAGAGGAAGTAAAAGGAATATATATAAAAGACTGTTTTTGCTTTCTCCCTCTCATTCCCAAAATAGCATTCCTTTCCCACCCAAAGAAACTTTTGACATAATGAGAACTGTCACTTCCTCTCTGCTTCCCATTATCACTATGAAAGATTTTACAAATAAACTTCATAACTGGCTCTCCCTCCCTCTCCAAAATTTGTCTGCTACCACACTTCCCCTTATTTGTTAACATGATCATTCCAGCTTTCTCAGTGTTCCTCGAACCTATCAAGCTCACTCCCAACAAGAAGCCTTTATATTTGCTATTCCTCTACTTAGAATGCTCTTCCTCTACTTAGAATGCTCTTCCCCCAAGACCTTCAAACACCTGACACGGTCTCATAATTCGGGCTCAGCTTAAATATTATTGCCTTCTCTGACAACTCTTTAAAATGGACAATCCCCCTAATCCCGTTACCCTACTTTCATTTTCTTTATGCATTCATCACTGTCTAACATTATTCACACATTTACTAGGTTATTGTCAGTTTCTCCTATTATATGAAAGCTCCAAGAGGGGAGGGCTTTGCCTTGTTTACCAGGTGTCCTCAGTGCCTAGAACAGTCCATCAAATGGAACAGATACTAGGTAATTATTTGTGGAAGAAGGAAAGAAGGAGGGAGCGAGGGAGACAGGGAAGAGAGAAAGAAGAAAAGTGAGAAGGAAGGAAATTCAAAAGTGAGAAATAAGATTGGTAATAGTTAAGCAAAAGCAGCAGTTTTGGGAGAAAAAAGGAAAAGAGACTTACAGAAAGAAGTACCACAAGACAGCCATAAGTAAAATATGCCATATTCTTACCTATTAATGATTTCTCTTCGTATGAAAACGATTATTTAGAATTCAAGGTGCTATGTTTTATATTAAGCCCACTAAGACAACTTAAAAACAAGCTGATCCATCAAGGACAAAAAGGCAACTGACTCAATACATAATAAAATGCATATTTATTTTTAAGCTTCCAGATTTAGGTTACAACTTTCTGTCTGAAACAAACTAAAGTACATAATCAGCAAAATTAATTTATGTTACAGGCTTTTATTCAAAAATTGAAACCACTTTTTTTGTTTGTTTGTTTGTTGATATTAATATTTGATCTGATATTTGAACTCACCTTTTCAAACACCATTCTGGCATTGAAGACCAGTGGAAAAGTGGCTGGGACACATTGTGTCTTTTTGTATTGGCCAAACACACAGATGCTAAGATAGATGTCCTCCTTGTCTTTCAGCACCACTCCTGGACAAGTTACCTGAAAGAAATTAGATAAATGGTTGTTACTGCTTTATCAATTCCTTAAACTATCCTACTAAAATAACTTATCTCATATTACATAAAAACACTAGTGTGCTAACCTAATAAAAATACTCACAAATAAAAAAAGAGAAATATATTCTAGTGTTTACAGAATTAAATGAAATGCCCTTACAACTTCCCTCTCTCTGAGAAATCCACAATTTTCCATTTGGTTATTTGTGGCACATTTGAAGCTCTGTGTACAGGCTCCAGGGACAGACACTAATAGTTTTAAACAGTCAGCCTTAGGCTCTCGTTTTATTGCTGAATGCTGACATAAAGTTATTCAGCATCATTTAATCACAAAGGATTAAAACTCAGCAGAAATAAAACATTATACTAGAGGGAAAAAAATACCAATAAAAAGCACAAATCTAGCTTTTTCACCCTAAATAGAGTCCATAGATACCTTCAACAAAAACATATGAAAAAGTTTCAATGCTAGCGAATTAAATGTTACTAGCTCACTCAATTTTTGAACATTAAATTGCACTTGCCTATTTTCATTGTGATTGACAGAAAGTACAGTCATAAAATGTGGACTTTCTAAATAACACATAGCAGTCTCTCCAGTCCCTGCCATATTTCATTGCCAGTGATCAACTATACCCTTCAAAGAATATTAAAGGCTCTCTCATATTTTAGTTCAATTACCCAACACCCAACCCCCTAACTATGTTCAATGTATATATTTTATTATTCTCGGAATACACACCTTACTTTCCTCCCTCATGTTCTTCCATTATCTGTATAATGTAATGTAATGTAAGTAATGTAAGAATAGAAACTTCTTACTACCTTATTTCATCTCCTGCTCATATATTCCTACCACCTGCCAAGCCATACATTAACTGCCATCTCCTACACAAAACTTCTCTTGATTCACCAGCTATCATTATTCAATTCAACCTAATTTAAACATTTATTATAAACTTACTATATGCAAGTAAATATGTTTTAAATTCTCATAGCATTTTGTAGTTCTCTCAAGATCCCAATTATTGTCTATAAACATTTCAATTAAAAGGGTATATCTCACCTCCTTTATTTGCTAACAAATTTCCTGAAAACATAAATTTAATTTTTCTCATCACTGTATCTAAAGAAATAGGACTTTAAGTATTACTAAGAAGCTTAGAGATTATCTAGACCAGCCTCAAATTTTTTTATATATGAAAACAACAGAGCCTACCCAAAAGTTTAGGTAATCTACCAATTTAAGGTTACAAACTAAATGAGCTATAACATTAAATGAATTAATATATTCAAAGTGCTTAGAGCAGTGCCTGACAGAGCATTCATCAATGCTAGCTACCATTATTTTAAAGTTAAAAACCATACCATCTGCCATCATAACACTGGCTGTTGCACTGAATAAATTACTAAGACCTCATGTCCTTTTGTACATAGCAGTTAAAACTATTTTCTGTGCCAGCTATTTTGCCCCTTATTCTATTTTTCACTTTTGTCCTAATATAAGAGTACTTCAAAAAGTTCTTGGAAAAAAAAAAGTTCTTGGAAAGATTCCCATTACTTTTAATTCTATTTTTCCACAATTTTTTTAAATTCCCCTCGTACATTCCCAATTGATCACTAAAATCAAGATCCCCAATAATCTCACTCTGTCAGCAGCCTCATTTCCTACTCTGCCTCATTAAAACCAGAAGTATCTTAGAGTTCCTCAAAATCT